GCCTTTTTAAAAACTCATGCCTTCTGTAGGTTTCATAGGGAAAAACAACTTAGGTCCAGTGACCTGAGAGTACACCACTTCAAATAACTCTTGTCACATGGAATTTAGTTAAACTTCAGATCTCATTGATCAGTCAGAGTCTGGAAAGTTTGCAAATCCTAACCAGCCATACATACCATGTATAAATAGTTAAACTCTCATCTTGTGTAACTTCAAGGTGCATTGATGTCTAGTAACAAATACTTGTTTATGGAAAACAAGTTATTATGGGTTCAACCTTATAAGCATCTAGTTCTGCACTTGAGAAGTAGAAAATGCCCCTTATAGGGAGTTCTTCTATAACACTGGAAAGGGAGAAGCTTAGGTCTTTGATGCTGCTGACCCTGTGGATAACCTAAATATGTATGACTGACCTTGATAAAAAATGAGCAGACATTTTCTGTGGAATTTTGGCATTTCTGCCATTCCTTTTCTTTAGAGCTCAAATTTTGAATGCTCAGAGATATACACAAGGCAAATTCCTCATGACACTTTTCCTGTAACTTAGTTTTTGGAAGGATGAGGGGCTTGCAACAGCATATTTTGGGGCCCTTCTGTGAAGAATGAAATGAGCTGTCTTCCTTATTATAAGGTCACTTATCTAACCTTAGCCTTTATCCTGAGAATCAAAGCTTAGAAATGTTAAGCAGTAATGTTTTGCTAGTACTGCTCACAAGGCATGTTCAGGACTCAGCTTCATGGTGAAAATTTTTCATGAAACCATTATGAAGTCTTCTGGATCAGACTAAGTCTGGGGCTTCTTGGCACTAGAACCAAAAATTAAATTATGAACCAAAGTATACTATTTTTTATCAGAGGGGTACAAGACAATGATGGAAAATTCACACAGAAATGTGTTTAAGATTCTCAGATACCTTCAAACTCAATAGGCAATTGCTAAAATGCGTGCTCTGTGCAGGAGATGGAATTGAAGTTTTTTTGATCTTGTCCTAACCCACAAATACTTTACAATTCTGACCCTTCTTGAAACTTGGAAAAAAAAAATAGTAAATTTCCTTACAAATTAGAAAAATTGTTACAAGAAAAATTGAAAGTTCTAAGTTAGTTTCAAGCTCAAGCATAAGGAAAAGTAAAAGCTGCCCTGTGACACTTGCAGTCATTAGTGTGAAACAGTTGCCATCCTGTGCTCTTCCCTTCACAGAGGAAGGAGAAAGAAACAAACAACAGTACCAGCTGCTGTGGGAGATGCAGAGAGGATTATAGCTTTTATTAATATTCTGCCAGTGTTTATTATTCTAAAAGCAGAAGTCTCTTTGTCAAATAGTGTATCCTAGGACCTGAACACTTGTGGGGTTTTTTTGTCTCCCAAGATAGACAGCTTCCTCTTTCCCTTAAGTTACGTGCCTAATGAGATTCTCCTTGATAAAACTCAGGTTAAACTAAATTCTCTGTGAATGTTAAGGAGATTAAAGGGACTATATTTAGCTGGCTGTGTATGGCATGGTTCAGAGTGAAAGCAAATGTATGTACAAGGAGTTACAAGTAACTCAAATGTTGAACTGCGCTCTTGAAAGAGGAAGAGGGGAACAAGGGGAAAACAAATACAAAATTAGGAAATAATGATGAGCTCTTAAGAAAACTGAGGTGGCATCTTTCAGAGAAAGTGAACATGTGCTCTTTTTTTGTTGGTTTTTTTTTTTTCTATTTTCTTTTTTCTTTTTATTTTTCCTTTCCTGTTTCCTGTTCAGCTGTTGTGAGAACGCTGGGAGAAATCTTATGTATAGAAATCAGACTATGTCTACAGTAATGGTGTAGTGAAAGTATTAAATGTCATGCCAGACAGGCTGCTTGATAATTTGGTTTTCTTCTACTGGAATACTCTTGCAAATTTTGGTCTTCATAACCTAAGGCCAAAGAACTGGTGAACTACCAGTAATATTGAAAATGTTTGGGTTTTGTTTTAAGTTCCTCAATTTTGTGCTTTCATTTCAAGTTAGCACAAACAGTAATTATAATCCTTGCTTTCTCTACTTAGAAATATGGTTTGTCACTTGCTAAGGCCACAAAAAAAAAACCACGTGATGTGTTGGTCTTTCAACTACTTTTAATATTTCACTTGTTAAATTCTTTCATTATTTCACTGTCCTTCTTTATGATCTCTTGTTGAGCCCATTTCTGAACACAGGTAGGAGTGATATTGTATTATGAACTTGAGCTATTCTCACAGTGATGTATGGTATGTTGCCTACATATTATACTCATGTTTGTGTAAATAGGGTTAGCATAGATCCAGGAATCCACTGCTGTACCTCTGCTAAGCTTTGCTGTGGATTTATGAATATTTTACGCTACAGTAGCTTCTGCAGTGTTGTACAAAAGCACTGATTCTCAAAGTGAGACCCTGCAGCTTATTTACAGAGGTACTGGTGACAAGCATTGGAATAACACAGCAAGACAGAGGCCACCAGAATTGCTTAATTGTCACAAATATCTTTCCTAGAAAAATGTGTCAGGAAGTCTTTTGTAAAGCTTTCCTAACAAGACAGAAGTGTCAGTATCAGTAATTTGTGCAAATTTAACCACGGTACAATAACACTTCAGCAGTCTTGTATGGGAAAAGTCCAAAAAAGTGCCATAAGCTGTTTCTGTGAGCTGACTTACATGTTTTACTTTTTTCTTTTTTTAAATGCAGTTTCATGTTTTAGTGGAGTAATGTAGTTATTATATAAAAAACATAAATAAAATAATGAATTCTGCACATTCAGCTTAAAACACAACTTGTTTCCCTCTCTGACAGGTAAAAAGCAAGATGGAGCTGTTGAAAACCGTAACAAAGGTAAATGCACGTTCTCTGATTCTGTCTTGCAAGTCTCTATTTCCTAAGAGCATAGCTGTTGAATACAGACTTTCCTATAAAAATGCATATTGAATCCTTAGATCCAAACTGCTTATGGTAAAGATGGCATAAGTGAATCTGCCCCCAAAAAACTGCTTCACTGAACCTGCTATTCCATCACCCATACGCAATGCACTTCTTTAAACATTCATGTGTAGTATGGCCTCTCTGGATACAAGATAATGCTCAGTGCTATTATATTTAGTGGAGCTGGGTATTAAGTTTTTTAGGTATCCTTGATTTGGGAGACTCACCAATGACTAAACTCTTTTTTTTGATCTTCTAGCTAAAGCTCAGGATGGTGCAGCCATGGAAATGCAACCACTGAAGAGTGAGGATGGTGGAGATGGAGACGAAAAAGACAAGAAGAAAGCAAACTTGCCAAAGAAGGAAAAGTCAGTTCTCCAAGGCAAGCTCACAAAGCTTGCAGTTCAGATTGGCAAAGCAGGTACAATGTCTCAGTACTCTCCTTATGCTGATGTCGTATTAAAAAAAGTTGGAACATGCATAGTTTGCGAGTAGATAAAATAATTGAACCACTCAAAGGTGACTACTTAAGTATGTTGCTGTGCCTGAGTATGCTGGTGGCCTCTCAGGCTATGTCATGTGGATGGCTTTTATTTTTCCTTAATTTAAATAAATTCAGGCTTAAATTCAAGTACCAGCTTATAGGAGGGAAAATTCCAGCTTCATAATATTGGACAGCTGTTACGAAAGATCATTTTAGGCTAGATACAGCATTTTGCAATATACTGAGAGAACTGTGAGTTGAGTGAAGTCTGGAAAATGTGGTACTATCTCTAGTACTTTCAGAGGCTTAGAATTTTCCACTTAACATATGTCTTGCTGATACATAATGTTTTTATTGACTTCCTACTTTCCTATCAGCTAATATTCAGCTGCCTTGTCAAAATATTTGGTAGATTGTTGCTGTTGAAAGTAGGCTGAAACAACAGTGAAGTTCAGTATGAAATTTAGGCTACATTATCTAGTGTGTAGTGGTTTAATTCAAATATTTCATATTTTATTTTGGTTCAAGTAGAATAGTTGAAAGGTTCAGGCTGTAAAGAATTTCAAAAAGACTTGTAGTCCAGCCCACAGCTCAAGAAGGGCTGACTTTAGCATTTGCATCATTAGAGAGTTACAGCCTGAAACTGAGCAATGAGCTTTCAGGTGTGACACTGCAGTTCTGTATGGTGATATTAATTTTTCAGTGAGTTTAACCAATTCCATTATATGTTTACTGTAAACTACTGTCCTTGTCAAAGATTTTTTCCATATCTCCCAAGAGGTCTTGTGTTTTTCTTTATGTACCTTTTGACCCACTGTAGTTCCCCACACAGCCTTAATACTCATCTACTTCATGTATGGATTTTCCTGTCCTCCTGCTTTGAGACTGCACAGAAGCACTCTACTGAATCAGTCAGCATAAAATTGGTGAAGGCCTCCTGAATTTTTTCATTTCTTGTTCTGCTTAGTCAATTGACTTTACATATTGGTCTGTCCTGTTACTAATTAGCCCCATCCTTTCCAATTAAATTGGAGGAAAAAAGGGAATTTCTAGGTGAAATGCATGAGGAAGTACTTGCAATGGAAGCTGGAACACCTCTGAGAACTACCTCAATGTTTTGACTTGCCTGTTTGAAACCTTAGTTCTAAAGTAGCTTATGCAAAGGCAGAGGTATTTGCATGTATCCATAGTCTGTATTGCCATATTGTTGAGATAATTTCTTAAAACTGTTTATTCTCTTTTTAACAAGGTTTATTGATGTCTGCAATCACAGTCATTATCCTTGTGTTATATTTTGTAATTGATACCTTCTGGGTTCAGAAGAGACCTTGGCTTGCTGAATGTACCCCAATTTATATTCAGTATTTTGTGAAGTTCTTCATTATTGGAGTTACAGTCTTGGTGGTGGCTGTACCAGAAGGTCTTCCACTTGCAGTCACTATATCTCTGGCTTACTCTGTTAAGGTAAGTGGGTAGAGGACAAATAGATTTTTTTTTAAGGTAGGTGGATGTATTCATCAGCTGTTAAATGCAAATTGAGTTATGCTGCATCACACACACACACATATATATCAGACTGGGAAGAAACTTTTCTTGTTTTTTGAACTGCATATGAATTCTCCTGCAGTACTTTTTCTTCTTTCAAGTGAACGTTTTCTTCATCTTTGAGTGAATACCTGCTTGTAAGAACAGTGAGCACGGCCAGCCTTTTGTCACCAGCTAAAGATGAATGGGTTCAGAATGTAGCATTGTAGCATTTGCTTACAATAAACAGATGTCTTAGAGGTTGTAAATAACAAACTTTTCTGAAAATCTGAACTTCTACCTAGCTGATATGTTAAACAATTGCTGTGAAAGCTTCCAGATTGATTTTTTTTTTTTTAATACTGAATAGCGTAAAGCATTTTTTCTGCTTATTTTTCAGCATGTTTTTTAACTTAAGCTCTTTGTGTTCTTAATTTTCTTGCATCAGCATGTTGAGACTGATTATTTATCTAAAATCTAATTGTAAATATGATGGGTGCTTAGGATGTGTTTTAAGTTCATAACTTAAGCACTTACTAATAGTGGCCTTATTTTACCACTTGAAATTCATCCTGCTCTTAGAGGTGAAAATACTATACAAGCCTGTTAATGAAAGAATTTAAAGTGATATTTAATTTATGAAACTCATGTAATCCTCACTGTTTTAGTTGAAACATTAGGTTCCTACTTAGTATTTGATTATGTCTGAATGTAGGACCTTTGAAATCTGTATTTATTATCTGATCTTCAGACAGGTAAAATAAGCTGTATTAGACTTTTGTTTGTAAGCAGAAACACTTTTTAAACATTGTGTCTGGTAAAGCTCAAACCTTACTTTTTCTCCATTTTTAAATATCATCATTAACTCTGCTCATAAAAGTCTGAATAGTATCTATAGTCAGTGTGACCTGTAGCTGCAGGAGATTAAGACTGTTTTTATTATGTACCTTGTTCAAAATGAAGTTTACTGTGACATAATAGGCTTAGGGGAATCTACAGAAAGTGGCAGCTGCAAGTTCTTCCTGTGAAATATGCCAGATGACTTAATGACTGTCTTCTGAAAGTGCTGTATAAGACTGGACCCCATAAATGAGCATTTCTGAAGTGAAGAATGGTCATGGATTGCTGTTAACTGCTTTTATTTCCCTAGAAAATGATGAAAGATAATAACTTGGTGAGACATCTGGATGCATGTGAAACTATGGGCAATGCAACAGCTATTTGCTCAGATAAAACAGGAACATTGACTATGAACAGAATGACAGTGGTCCAAGCCTACATCAATGAAAAACATTATAAAAAAATTCCAGAACCAGAAGCTATTCCAGAGAAAACTATGGCTTATCTTGTGACAGGAATTTCTGTTAATTGTGCTTATACTTCCAAAATACTGGTAAGTGGATTTCTTCTTTCCAATCAAGATAACTGAGTAGCTTCCTCAAAAGATGCAAATTATCTGATGGCCACAGGCAGTTTCAGTGTAAATGTGTGTCACAGTGCAGGGTAAGGTGTATTTTGCACCTGTTGTAAATTGCTCAACCATTCATTTGAAAGTCAATGGGAAAAAAAATAGCTTATTTCAGTTAGAACTGATAATTGAAAGATAAAATCTCAAGATAATTTCAAGTTCAGAGTTGTTTGCTTTTATAAGTGGGGCTGTTTACCCCACTTTTCTTGGATGGATTTGAGTGCTACTTAAAAATAAATATTAAACCAATTAATATTTAAGAGTAGTACTTTAAATAAAATATAATAAGAAAATGTAGCTACAGGTAAGGATTTTAATGGATTTTTATTACAGATACTTCTGTATAAGTTTGTAAACTTTAGAATTGTAATGTATTTGCCAAAATCTTGTTTGAAGTGTTTTGAAATGAAAAAGGCAAAATGTTTTGAAAAGAAAGACCAATGGACTGCTACACATTTTAAATAGTGGATTTTTTTAACATTTTGTGTGCATTATTTTCTAAAACTCTAAACAGAGCTTCCTTGCCGTAGTAATTCCAACATGTTGTATAACTTACATTGCTTAGGCAGAAAAAATGATAAGTAGGATTTAGTAAATGAATTAGCATTTAAGGATTCTTTAGAAGCCTCTGCTATGGATGCTTTGCACACAAATGGCAGTGAAAACTCAATTCAAAAGCTACTTATTGGCTAATAAAAGTGGTATGCCTGCAAGAATTTCCACAATAGCAGTACTTGAGGCAGCACATAAAGTTTGACAGCACTGATTTATCTGAAACAAGATGAAAATACTATGAGTTACAGCACGTGAGGAGTTTCACAATCTGTTTTCTAAAGCTCTTTCTGTATCAAGAAAAAGGTACCTGTATGTAAACTGACCAAGTCCCTTATTACTACAATTTTAAGTGAATTACGTCCACTGCAGTAGAATTAGTCTGCTTTACAGAACCAGAGAGGGCTGAAAGGGAACTCTTGAGAGCCTCTGGTCCACTCCTCCTGATCTAAGCAGAGTCAGCCAGAGCACACTGCTCAGGGCACCCACTCAGGATTTGAGAATCTCAAAGGATGGAGCATTTGCAACCTTTGGGCAGCCTGGTCAACTATTTGATCACCCTTAGAGAAAAAGGTGTTTCCTTATCTTAAAATGGAGTTTCAAAAGCTTCAGTTAGTATTATGTATTGCCTGTTGTCCTCTCACTGGGCACCACTAGGAAGTCTGGCTAGACTGTCCTTACTATTCAGGCATTTAATGCACACCACAAAGTGTCTCCCAGAGCGTTGTCTTCTCCTGACTGAGCAGTCCCAGCCCTTTCAGCTCATCCTCATTCATCAGGTGCTTGAGTCTCTGTATTATCTTTGTGTGCCATGGGTGCACTTTCTCCTGGATGTTGATATCTCACATAGTGGGGCACCCAGAACAAGATGTCTTAAACCATACATTAAAGTGAACATATTGAAAGTGCAACTACAGCCAAATCCAAAATCTTGTGGCTCTGAACAGTGAAAATGGACCACTGACTTATGATTAATGTAGTTCAACTCTAGCCACCTGAAATATGTCAAATTGAGTAAGTGCTTCTCCCTCTTTTGCTGCAAAAAACACCACAGTGTTTTAGGTATATGAGCTCAAATATTTTGAGAGAAATAATTGTTTACTTATAGAACTAGTATGTGCATATCCCACTTTGTTGGAATAAGAAACTTTCTGGTATTAAAGGATTGGAAACTTGTTTCTGAACTCTCTCCAGTTAAATAGGCCATGGCCTGGAAAACAGAACTTGTAGTGAGACTTAAGAGGCTTAAAGACTTAGTTTGTTCAGAAGAAAGCTAACAGGTGATGTGGTCATAGTCTAAGTCATTGAAGAATTATTACAGTAGAGGATACTTGAATTTAGCAGAAATAATGCCATTTAGCTTGCTAAAGTCAGTCTATGTGAACTCTTCTGTACTTTTAAAATCCAAAATAATTGTTCAGGGTCTACACTCGATTGAGCAGATAAATATTTAAAGAAATGGAAAATGTATTTTAGAAAGGTCATGTTGGGATTGATACAAACTTAATGGGTGTTTTCCGAAGGATTGAAAGCTCCTAAATAGGTACAGAACTTACTTTTAAAAAGCAGCAGTATGACACCAGATCGTGACTCATAGGAATTTATAAAGTAATTACTGAAAAAAGGAAACCTCCCCATCCCAGAACTAAGTTTGTCCTTCCTTGTTTTCTATGTGCTGTGCTTCAGTGGTTTATAAGTTAACCTAATCCCTGATGGTTCTTGTTCTTGCAGCCTCCTGAAAAAGAAGGTGGCCTACCACGCCATGTTGGAAATAAAACTGAATGTGCCTTGCTGGGATTGCTCTTGGATTTAAAACGTGATTATCAGGATGTAAGAAATGAGATACCAGAAGAGGATTTGTACAAAGTGTACACCTTCAACTCCGTTAGAAAATCGATGAGTACTGTGTTAAAAAACTCTGATGGCAGTTTCCGGATATTCAGTAAAGGTGCCTCTGAGATAGTTCTTAAAAAGTAAGAACAACTACTGTTGTAATTCAGCACTTAAGTTTGGCTAAATGTTGTGATAGGTGGGGAGACTGACATGCTAAACGACATTGTGACATAGTCTGTGAAATACTTGTCTCTCTAATCACAGATAAGAGCAACAGTCCTTTACTCTCGTGACTGCAGTTTCACAGCTTGTCTCCTTCAGTTGTTTGAATTTATACAGTAAGATGGGCCATTAGAACTTTAGTTACTTTACTTCAAACACCCCAGCCCTACCCCTCAAAGTAACAAAAAACAAAACAAAACAAACAGAAAACAAGACAAAAAAACCCCAAACAAACAAAAAAAACACCAAAAAAATAAAGACATGGTCATGCTTTAGTTAAACTATTTTACTTTTAGGCGTGGTTGATCAAAATGCCTTCTAGTAACATCCCATCAGTTGATTTGCCTAAATTCCAGGAAGGGCTTGTACCTTTGAAAAGTGATTACTTTTAGCATAATTGCTGCTTAGACTGCAAAAGATGATCATTTTAACAGGAGGCTGAACTTAAATGTTCAAGCAACTTGAGGGGTTTTATTGTGACAAAGCAATTGCTTCCTTATCCATCTGCCCACCTATAAAGGATTTATTAGAATGAGATTAGACTTAGTGGGTGATTAGGCACCACTGGGACAAACCTTTATAGGTGGTAAGTCAGCTGTGGTAACTCCTAACTAGGTGAGGAGAGACGTCAAACATGAATGCATCAAGTTCTCCAGGAACAGCAGTTGGTAGCCAGGCTATTAGTTTTGGTTCTAATGTCAAACTGTTTCTAGTCTGAGTAGCACATAGGTGATATATTAATCAGTTAAATTTATATTTTTTTTGCTTGTTAATAGCTCCTCGAATCATTATTTAGGAAAGTACTAATGTAATAAAGAAAAAATATGAGCTCTTCCTTCTCCTCAACTTTTGTGCTAAATACAAAGTGTCAATCTCTAAAGGACTCTTGTTCCTCTTGATATGGAACTTAAAATCTATACTTTTTTTGCATAGCTAGATTTTAAGCCAAACCCTATCAATGAATAGGTATGGCTATATTTACATCACTTGCACCTTCTGAAGTATTTTGTAACTTACAATATTGAGCAACTAAACTGTAGAAGTTGCTAGAACTCAGTCATCCCTGACTCATGTGGTCCACTTGACTTAATAACTGAAATAAGAAAATAAATAAGAAGGGCATTTGGAGAAGAACAAGAAAACCTAGACTCATTTGGATGCTATGGGAATAGTGTCCAAATAGGAAACTACTTCAGAGTATGCTCTGAATAAGACAAAGATTTAGGCATCATAAGCTGCTTCCTATGCAGTACTTGTAATCTGGTTTGCCAGTTGTGCTGCTCCTTCTCTTTTGTAACATATGTAACTACCCTTGAACACTGAAAACTTGAACATTTCTAAGACACTAATGAGTCACTAGTAGGTGTAGAAGAAATGCAGAAACTTTTTCAAGTAGAGCACTTTCTTTTTTCTTATCACTAAGTCAAGTGTTTGAAGTGAGTTTCAGTGTGGTCTTTGCATACTTATTTATGTGTATTAAGTCATTTTGGAATGTTTTAATTTGTCACCAGCCTTATGATTTCAGCTAACACTAGATATTCTCAATGATTGCTGACATTTGAACAGACAAGTAAAATCAGAAAATTCACATAGATTCAAATTCACAATTCAAATTTCAATTATGCCATGAATTTTGAAGCTCTAAGGGACTGCTTCATTTTAATTTTCTGTATGATGTGGAAATTTTAGGGAATTTCCTAAATCTTTGGACTATACACTTAACTGTAACACTTGTCATATTTGCAGTTCTGCAAGGTCTGAACTTAATTAAATGAAAGTAATGAATTCCATATTTATTTAATTTTCCCTGGTTCTGTATTAGTACTAATTTGTAAAACTAATGCATAATGGTGTTACTTTATGGGAAAACCTTGTGAAGAACACATGAGCAAGATTAAATTTCTTGTTCAAAATTGTTGGTAGTGTTATATTCCTGGCATCAATATTGGTAAAGTATATATGCAGTCTGTGAAAGCAGTGGCATCTTTGGCATGAAGAAACAATGAAGAGAGCATGTATTGAAATGCTGGAGTGCATAGTGGTGAATCTAGTCTCCTATACAAACATTTTA